TCGACAGCATGCGGAGGCGGGGGAAAAAAGGCCGTGACAGGCAAGGTTCCTACTGGTAAGTACTGATGAGGATGCTCCGGAGAAAACGCAGATTTGGCAGGCCGATGGACGCGGTGCTGCCGAAGCGGTACGGTGAAGCACTTGCCACCATTGCCTTCGACTGGACAGATCCCTCGTCTGCTCGGGGACCAGGGCTCCTCCAACATGTGTCCTTGCTGTCTTCGGGTTTGAGCAATATTGGGATCCAGGGAAGCGATGCTAGACATTGCAGGAATGGACGTCTTCGGATTTTGAGGCGAGACGCGAAGCTGGAGAAGCAACTTGCAATCGATCGGTTGGGTCCTCGCCAGAGTCCTTCGAACACGTGCAAAAAGTAAGACGGATGGTTGACGTGGCTCGTCGAGGGGATTCAATCGCGGATGGAAGAGAATAGCGAGGTCCTGTGCTCGTGGAAGTTGTAGAAAAGAGAATGCAAGTCAAACTGGAGACGCGTCCTGTCGCGACAATGGGGTTTGGGGAGCTCATGGCGCTTGGGCTGACTAAGGTGCTCGCTGGGACGGGTGCCTGAAGAAGCGGATCATCCTCCCGGCTCCGTGACTGCCCATCAAGACCTGTCCAGTCTGTCACCTTCGTAGTACGCATGGAGCAGCTTTTTTTTTTTAAACATCTACTACTAGATCAGACTTGACTGTTCGGCTCACACTGCATAGGCTCAAGAATTGGTCTTCCTCTGCCGCTCATGCTTCACCCACCAGGGCTTACATGCTCGTCACATGTGATCTCGCATCCCAGCACGACAATATGCGTCCTGCCGTCACCGACTCTCGACGCCTACCATGTGTGTCGCCTTCGACCACATGAGTACAGGCTGGCAGTATGGCCATGCACATGAGCGGGCGGGAGTCCGGCCGTTCGTGCTGGAAGGCCTCGATACATTTCCAGACAATGCCCAAGCGCAAAAAGAGCCGGCAAGCTACTTGACCTAAAGACCTGCGCCTCGTCCTCACAGCGCCTACTCAAATACGATGATGCCGGGCATTTCCCACCAGACATGCGTAGTTTCCGAGCCTTCTTCCGCTGTTCTGGAAGCACGCCATCAGGGTACCCTCGAGATTGTGGTCGACAAGCGCCCTGCCAGGACGGGGAAATCAAGCTCGCCAGGGTTACTATTTCTGTCGCGGCGAGGCCCATGATAAGGTTCACTAAGAGCATTCGCCACCACCCGCCAAGCAACCTGCTGTTCATCTGTTCAGCTTCCGTTTAGCCCCGCCTCACAAAGTCTAAGCAGTGGTCAAAATTAACACAGTCACCTGGTGCTACCCTGGGACTCTCGCGGCCCAAATGAAGCAACAAGGCACGCCGCTTCCTGTACCCATCACGTGTGTACACCATCTATCCGGGATGTCCCTACGACCTCCACCGACTCTCCATCTTGTTATGGCACGACAAAAGATCTGTCAGCATGTTCTCTCATTCGCAGGGCACCGAGAGAAATCCACGCAGCGTCTGCCATCTGCACCTCCAGGCGACCTCACACAATTCGATCCATCTATCCTCTCGAACAGCTCAATCGACACCTGCAGGTACGGTGCCGCGTCACGACGCCAGTTGGCAGAAGTGGCGATATGACTGAGGCTCGGCATCCAAGCCATGCACCCGCCAACAGCTATGCGCAGCCCATTTGCCCAGGCCCTGCATTGTGATCCACGGCCCGTCATGCGTAGCACCGTGAGCGTCGGCAGTCCGCCCGGCACTATGCCTACTGCCTAGGGATTCCCCAGAACTGCATCCGCAGTCGTGTCATGAATTTGAGCCATCAGCGCAATAGTATCTGTCTTTCAAAAGCAGTATACAGATGATCACAAGGCGAATGAGATGAACCGCCACTAGGGATGCAAACATGTCACCCCTTTGTTCCGGGGTAGGGGTAGTCCCACGAAGTGAGGCCCGCTGCCGGCCGGATCGACACGGCTAATTTACAACGGGCCAAGGTTTAACGTACTGCGCCGTCCACGTTACTGTGGCTCAGGGCAATCGCCAAGTCGCTTCAGTCTTTTTGGCCGCGTTGAAACTTAGCATGCTGCGTAAGGCGCAAGGGCCAAGACGTAGAAAGCCCTCTCAAGAAGTTCATCGTGATGCCAGCCGCCGCCTCAATCTACTAGGTGACCAGCACCACCCATGTATAGCGGTTGTCGGTCTCAGCCATGCCATGATGCTGCGGACGGCGCATGGGAAGCCAACTTGACAGCTCGTGGCGAGCCGCAGGACACCTGCGGGTGAAGATTCCGTTTCTCCTGCGAACTCAAGTGTGTGACGAGTTCGTCAGCCGAGTCTAGGTGCGTATATATGATATCATGGTATCCCAACGTCTTGAAACCCGGTTTGGGGTATAAGCCGTGGTAAACAACTCGCTGTGACATACGACTACTCAATATTGTTGAGTTCACTAGACATTGTCCTTCTCCTCGATTTCTTCGCCAGAGGAACACCCCTGAATCTCTACGGTCTAGCACAATCTTCCATCCCCTAGAATCTTCTGCCGGACGACCTGCAACTCCTCATCACTTCCCTTGCCCGAGCATGTGGTCTAGACAAATCCTTGTCCTGATCACGGCCCTCGGCCTGGCCTCATCTTCTTTCTTTCAACGCAATGCCGACACAGACCTGTCACTCAACCTGCCGCTCTCGGTAACGGATGCCTCTCCAGCCCAAACGATCTCGTCTGAAACCACACTTCGCATCCTCTGCGTGGGAGATTCTGTCACCGTAGGACACGGCAGCAAAGAACTGAACGGGTACAGAAGCGACCTCGCAGAACGCTTGTCCAGGAGTCAGCCAGAACTCACGTCAGTCCGAGTTTGCAGCGTGCTGACCAAGTGACCAGGTAACGAGGTCGAATTCGTCGGGACAGAACACGGCGGAGCAATGCGCGATGGCTATTTTGTGAGACGAGAGAATTTCCCGCGGCACGTCGACGAGTGTCCATCTGACCATTCATAGGCTGCGTGGAACGGCAAAACCATACAATTCCTTGCCGAGCACATCGGGCCGTCCCTCGAACAACGACCAAACCTCATCCTGCTGCATGCGGGCACAAACGACATGGCCTCTGTCGAGCGCATCGCAAAGGAGGGAAACGACCCCACAGCCGCGGCCGGGCGGCTCGGTGATCTTCTCGACCTCATGATCCGGGCCTGTCCCGATGCGGTCATCATCGTGGCAGTCATCCTCGGCTCGTGCCAGACGAACCGGGTCGCGAGGACCACGGAGACCAAGCTCTCATCCCAGACGTCGTCAGGCGACTCTCTTGATGCCGGGCACAAGGTCCTCGCCGCGGACTTTAGCGCTATGCCCCAGAGCTTCTTGCGTAATGACTGCATCCACCCGTCGATGGATGGGTACAGAGAGATGGGGCAGGTATTGGTATGATTTCATAACGCAGGTTCCCGCGGCGTGGTGGTTGCCGGCTCCGAGTGCGGTTGACCCGAGTGCGGTTGACCCGGGACGCGGCGAACAGAAGGTAGATGTGCAGTCCAGTGGTGGATCACTGAGGCCGACGGCGTGGTTTCTTCCGATTCTTGCATGGTTTATCCTTGGCTGAGTCAACGTGTTGAGGAATTGTATTTTGAAGCATCATGAAGCGACGCATTAGCATGGCGAGATTTTCAATTAGGATGACTGCGCCGTAACAACAGTGTGAATGGATGATATCTCTCAGGCGCCTCAAGTTGACAGATTATCTTTGGTTACCTGTGCTGTTCAAACCCCCGCGCCTCTTCTAATCTCGCCTCAATCTTGGCAATCACGGACTCATCGTACAGATCTTCGTGCTTGGAGTCTCCTCGCAGGATCATCTTCTCGTGCCTCGTCGCCTCGTCCTTTGTCATGCAGACCAAGTCGCCAAGGCGCACGTCGGAGCTCTTCTGTTCATCGGCACCCTCTCCGATTCGTACCATCGTCTTGCCCTCCGGCTTCCGCCACCTGATGAGGACGTTTCTCGTCGGGATGCCAGTCACAGCACTACGGCCCCTCCACAGCTCCTCGGCGAGGAATGCAATGTCACCGGGTGTAATGGGTGTCTTGAGACCCTTGGCCACCTCAGGGTCACTGGACCCCTCAGTCATGCGAGCAAGCTTCTCCTCCGTGCTCTGGATAAAAGCCAGTATGCTGTCGTACATCTTGTCACGGCCCTTGCCGGGGATGTAATCTGTCGGATAGCCTATCGCGTGTCAGTGTCCCGGATGGCCGAATTGTCTGGCGAGATGGGAGATTGGGGGGGCTGTACCAGTGATACTCAAGATGATGTGATTCGCAATAACATAGCCGAACACCGCAGGCATGGTTCCAAGCACAGGAAGGATGCGCACCCTGAAATTGGGCAGGACACCCAGATCGCCGACCTTGCCCTTCTGGAACTCCTCCTCAGCGAGGGGCAGGAGGCCGGCCTTACCCTCGCCAGTCTTCTCAGTCGAGAAGACAACGGGGATGCCGCTGGTGATGCCCTGCAACTTCAACCTCCGCCTCGTCGCCCTCGAAAGGCCGTCGTCCGTACTGGTGCCAATGTCGCCAACGACAATGCGCGTCGGGTCGCTCTTGGCACCGGCGCCCATGCTCGAGATGACGGGAATCTTGTGATCGTGACAGTACTTGAGCAGCGCAACCTTGGTGTCGATGTTGTCAATGGCGTCCACGATGAAATCGGGCTTTTGGCCGTCATCCCAAGGCGACAAGACATCATCCTCGACGCCAGCCTCAAACTTCTGCAGTCGCAGGTCGTACTTGACCCAGGGCGCAATGGCAATGAGTCGCCGGTACAGGCATTGCACCTTGGGCATGCCAACGTCGGCGAGCGTTGCCACGGCGTGGCGGTTCAGGGAGCTGAGCGTGACCTGGTCGAAGTCGATCAGACGGATCTTGGAAACACCGGACCTGGCCAGGGATGCTGTGCAGTGAGAGCCCACGCCACCGCATCCGACCACGATGACGAACGATTCCCGTAGCTTCTTGAGGCCCTCGTCCTGGAGAAAGACGCGATTGCGGGCGAGTTGTTCAAGAATGAGCTCGTCGTCAAAGTCACCGGCTTGGGCCCTCTTGGCGAGTGCTTCGTTGCGTGCATCCTCTTTATCAAGGGTCGAGGAAACACCACCGAATTGCGTGAGCTGGCCAATGTCAGTCGATGGGGGGCTTCATGGCTCAAAAATGGGCGACGGCGCACCTTTTCTGGCGTATGTTCGCCATCCGCAATAGGCGGTATAGAATGCTTCAATTCATAGAGCCTCTCTTCCCTGTCCAATGCTTGGTACCCAAAAATGAGGGCGCCCACTGTGAGGCCAGAGATGATTGCAGTTGCGGCGAACTGCAGGCGGGAGTCCGCCGCCGCTCGCTCGATCAAAGACGCCATTTTCAAGCGGCCATGATCGGAAAATCCTGTGTAAGTTCCGTGATCAAGAGTATGAAACGTTGATGTAAAGTTTTGTACCTACGACAGATACAAAATTGCTATCGAGTTGCCCTTGGATCCAGGAGCTCACGAAATCGACGGCTTCGAGTTTGCCCTTGGCTGGTTGCGATGGGTGTGGACCAATCGGAGAGGCCAATGCCTGCGAGCGCGGAATTATCATCCGCCGACGTACCGACGACTCGAGTTCCCCAACTGCAGGCTCAGCAAGAGCCAGTCAGAATAGAGGCATCAGCGGTGACCACCATTGACAATCGACACGCAAGGAACCAGCAGGCTTTCGAGGGTACTGCCAGCCTCGATCCAGCTGCTCGTCCACATGCTTGCCTCGAACTATCATCGATCCACTGCAGCACGCTCGACATCAGCATGACGACCATACCATAACCGCATCCCACACATTGCTAGACATAGACATGCTTCCGACAACACGGCAGCGCTTGGCCACTCGCCGCCGCCTCCTCGAGCGACTTTTCCAGCTCCCCGCCCGCGAATTTACCAGCAACACAACGCTCGCGTCCCGTGTGCGACCGCAGCTTCCTTTCCTCTCGATACCAGTGACGACAACACGGCGCAAAGTCCGTTACTTTACCACCGAAAAGAAGCTATGGCTGAGGCATGAGGGCCGACTCTTCCTCCGGTATAACATCTCCATCTGGGGCTCTCTCGTCTGCGTTGTCGCCATCGGATTCATGCTCAACCAAGAATGGTTGGAAAAAGACTTCCCCACGCCGCATGAGTGGTCGTTCCTGACGCGCATGGGTGTTCGGGGCGCGAAGAGTGCGCAGCGGGTTGCTGGGAATCGGGGCACAAATTATGACGAGATTATCGTGTCGTGTCAGAATGCTCTGAAGAGACTTGAGGACCCCCAGCTTGATGGCGCTGGTGTTCGGGAGCTTCTTGGTGATGAGCCCTTGTCCATTGATGGTTTGGGAAGTGTGGGCAAGGATATTTCGACCAAGGACGAAACCTGGAGGCGAGGCTACTACGAGGTCATGATGCTGCTGGCGACGACGCTCGAGCAGGTGGACGGCTGGGTCAAAGATCGCACTCGCAACATTGTCTGCCCCCCGGCTATGGTTGTCGGACCCTCGAACCCCCGGCCTCAGCCCATGCCTGTGGGAGCTCCCGGTGCCCCGAAAGAAGAAAACTGTGAGGTGGCCTACGAGTCTGCGGAGAATGCCTACCTTCGGATTCTGACGACCAAGGGCTTCAGCACCAAGCAAAGACTCGATGCAGCGCTTGCGTATGCTTCCTTCTTAGACTTCAAGAAGGTGCCGGAGGCTGCTGCCAGGGTGTACGACTGGGCACTCTCCATTGCCTTGGAGACTGTCGACCCATCTTCACCTCCTGTATGACCGTCGACATGACCCTCAACGACAAGTCGACAGCCCCCTCAGAAACGTCCTATCTGTTCTCACTGCGATGGCGACGCACAAGGCCCATGGCGGTGACGTCGCGGAGCACTCCCAATCTTGTATCTCTCCTCCGCGCCCGTCGCGCTTTGCCCACGACACCGCCAACCACAGCAAGGCAGAAGTCGTTTGAATCATCGCCATCCAACTTCTGGCAAAAACTGTGGGCACTGGCACAACCACCACAGTACCCCCCGCCTCCGCCTGATGGAACGACCCCCCCCATGGCGCGACAACAAGCAGCTTTGCGAGGAAGCGGCCCTTCACCTCTACATTGGCGAGATTCTTTACTCGAGCAACGATACATTGCGAACACGCGAGGAAGGTCTCACCTGGACACGCGACGGCGTGGACCTCGCGGAAGAACAGCTTCGCGAGCTGGGCCCCGACACGGCGGCGAACCGAGCGATGAAGACGACCTGCAGGGAGTGTTTGGGTACAGGGCTGCATAACTGGTCACTCATGGTCAAGCGGCTGGCAAAGGAGGAGAAGGCACAGCAGCAGGAGGCTGAAGGGAAAGCCACGGCGGCGGCAGGGTCCACATCCAAGCTTGGGCGCTTCTGGTCGAGTGCGCCAAACCCGAAGGAGGCAGGGACGCGCTGGGCAGCGGAAGAAAAGGTTGTGTACGATCGTATTCGGAGGACAAACGAGCTGCTGGTAGATGTGGCGCCGCCGTCGGCTGGCTTGTCAGATCTACTCCGGGCGTAGGCTGGACATGCACATGGGACGATATCCGAGTCGAGGGCGTAGGGGCACGATGCCGGGGTCGAGAAGATGTAACCAAGGGTTCTCTGGCACTGCCGTGACCATTTCGCCATGTAATACTACCTTACCTACCTTACTTGGGGCCATTTCCCACTTGGGGCCATGTTCCCAGAATCCGGTCGTTGGGCAGCTAGGTGCTTTGTCCCTGTGACATCAAATAGACCCTCTTTCAGGCTTTGAACGGCATCCCTTGGATTGACCAGCGTCACCCTGTGGATCTGCACGGGTGCCCCCTTGTGGCCAGAACCCGCGACTCGGTGTTGCCGGTGGGGGAGAAGGAGGAAGAAAAAAAAAAGCAGCAATGGAGACGAGGCTGGCAGGTGGCCTGTCAGCACCCAGGACATGGTCCTTAGGGTTGTCAAGCACCTCAAACACGGGGCTGCACCCGAGCTGTCGATTGCATCCACTTTGGTGACCGAAGTGCCGGGTGTGATGCTCCATAGTACTGTAGAGGGAGCAAGCACGGCCTTTCCATGCTTCCATCCCTGGCAGCTGCCATCAGGATGGAAGGTCGCCCTTAGGAAGGAAGAAGCCGGACGCACGGACCGACGAAGATCAGCATCCCTCCCCCAGCCACAGCTTTTCTCTTCGGGGAAGCTGCATCATAGTGGAGTGCCTGCCCTTGCGTCCCCAGCTGAGCGAGAGGTCGTGTGCCCTATCTGGTCCCGGGGCGGTCCCCAGGACGGTCGCCTGTCAGCCCAAGGCAAGGCAAGTACCTAGGTAGGCACTACCGCGTGGAAGGCGCATGCAGGCTGCAGCTCCCCCACTGAGATGCTGCAAGAAGGTACGGCACGTATGCAGGCAGGAGCAAAGCAGCTCACCGTCTCGTTGCAGCCGCGCAGAAACTTTTCTTCGTAAAACTACATACACACACGTGCGATACCTGTGAAGCAGCCTCGAACAGCGTTTTCTCGCGATCCCTCCATCCTTGACAATTGTGCTGTGAGTTCCATCTCTTTCTTTCATCGCGCGCTACCCAATGTGCGTCTGAGCCTAGCACCTGCATTGGGGCACGGCATGGCCCTAGCTTCCGGGCCCCGGTCCGCTTTCCTCTAAGCCCAAACGCCTCGAGAGAGAGGCTGGGGATGGAGTCGTCACAGCACACTCTCACTCACTCACCCTGGCTTTCTCACCATCACCACCCAACCTTCCTCTCGTCTGCCCCCATGTTGTCCGTGTCCTTCTTTTTTTCTCGCCTCTGGGTCGTGGCAAGGGGTCGACCAGCCACTGGCAATTGGCGGCGCCGTTGACCAAAACGACTGAATTGCCCAAACATGGCGCTTTCTGTCTGCATCATGCATCATTCAATCCACATCTGCATTGGCGCGCATCTTTGTCTAGCATACACTACTACATCACCCTGTCCCTCACCTCGTCTTCGGTCAGTGTGTTGAAAGGTCTTAGTGGGCTTCGCTCGACGCATCTTCACACACATCGAAGAATGAATTTCCAAGACCTGACATTCGACTTTATCGATCGACAGCGTATGTTGGGCTTCTCCAGTCATTCAGCGCCCTCCAATACGTGGTCGCCGACTTGATATACTGACGGGTCGCATAACAGGTCCCCAACCGCCTCAATTCTGGTCCCCCAAGACCCCTTCTGAGCAGTCAGAGGCCACCATTCGGCCGCATGGCGACAGGTCACGCGGCGGCGATGACCTGACGAGCGACTCCGGTCACGTTTCTCTCTCACCTCAGGCTCCGGCCATCTTCCACGCCCCGTCACCGCCAGGACACTCTGAATCCGACTCGACCATCACCGAGAGCTACGGTCCTAGCCGTCTGTTCGCACAGTTCGGAAACCCGCTACGTGACATTCGTCGGCACCCAGACGAACCACTGATCGACAATCGCCCGGATCCGCGTCCACCTCGACGAATCGACTCCGAGTCGACAGTCCACATCCAATCTCAAACGACAGTACGCTTCAACGAAGCACAGCTAGCCATGGACGAGGTCGCCAACCGCGCACGCGCCAAGGGCTTTCGCGATGACATGACCATTGCCGTCAATGGTTCAATCACGCCCGGCGTCGATGATGGACCATTTATCAACTATGCCCTTGGCGCCCTCACTCAAGAGTCATGGCCTAGGCACTCTGCCACGTCAGATGCCACAGCGACCACCCGAGGCGATGCCGGCGCCTCGTGGCAGAACGAGCTCCCTAATGATTATGACGAATACTCTGATGATGATTACGCGGTACCCAAGAGGCGTTCAAGCAAGGCACGCAATCTGGTGCCATCTCTCGCTCCTGTGCCTTCGGTTTACACGCGCAACTCCGTGCGCCACAGCGCGGTATCACAGTCGCAAGACGAGAACGAGGAGTTCGGTGCCACTCCCATAAGACTCGAAGCCTACAACACGACACGACCTCTCTCACAGCCGAGGTCAACGACTTCTTCACGCTTCATTGGAGAGGACGAACCCAAACAGTTGGGCTCCAACCGTTGGATACCGATCAGTGAAGTCCACCCGACCCGACGGGAAGGCCTGCCCAAGCTTGATATTATCGATCCCCTGAGAATCAACTATCCCGAAATCACCTATGTCCCACGAATTTTACGACTACCCTCAATGACCACCATGATGGCATTATGCATTATTATGATTGTCATGCTCGTCACGTCCGCCATTCTGACAACGATACGACCTGGCTTGATGACGTTGCACTATGGCGTTGACGATATCAACCACGGACAGTACTTTCTGTTCCGTGTACTGCCACAACTACTGGCCGCCGTCGTGTTCGTCTACGCACAATGCATCATGACAACCACGATTCGAATTCTGCCGTTCCAACGCATGACGAATGATGAATCTGAAAGAGACGCGATGCATATTCTCCTTGCCCACCTCCACCTCAAGAAATTCATGAAAGCCCCGCTGACACAGCCGACTAAGCCGGATGTCTTTATTGCTACCATGCCTACCAGCAACCTGAACATAACGTTGTTGAGCAGGTG